AGCTGTGAGCGGTGGCGATCAACGGTGGTCGACAGAGGTCAACGGTGGTTGTCGACGACGATCGACGATGGCGAGGATGATCTTGGACTTGAGCTTTTTCTCAAAGCCTCAATTTCTTTTTTAGGCCTCCCCCCTCTCATGTGAGAGGTGAGACTCTATTTACAGTACTTTGAGTGCAATTAATGCAGGAATATGAACCATTTTAATAAGACGGTCTGGAGAGCTTCCCTTGATCAGATGACGTTTGATTGACATTTGAGTGCCTTAACGATGTCAGAATTGAGCAATCTTGGGCTCATTGGATTCATCTTGTCAAGACGCTCGATTCGACTATGAACTCGTTAGATTTGGTATCTGTTTAACATTTCAAATGCCTTCGAAAATCCTCCAAGAGTGGTTTGATGATTTAATCTGGGCTTCATTTGACCGGATTAGACTTACTTTTATATCATTAGGTCCGTCTCTTCGAGCCGATCAGTATGACTATAAGTTTGTTGAAATCAGAGTTCTGGATGACACTTAATCGAAGATTGAATGTTTCTTTTTCAAAAAATTGCACCGAAATTCATGCCGGATGATGAAAATTTGTTGGTTGCGCATCAAGAATATTTGTATATAATATTTAGGACGTTGAGGAATAATGTGACGTTTGCATGACGTATATATGACTCATAATATAAAAGTAAGAGATATTATGTTTCTTTAATTTGTAGGAATTTCTTTAATTTCTGATAATAAATTAAAAAACTTGAAGCTAAAATAGTTTTATAAATGTAATAATTATAATAATATTATATACAAAATATTTTCACAAAAGAAAAAAAATATACTCTTTAAATGGAAATTATATCATATTTTTCTCTAAAAAAAAATAAAATGTGTCCAAAAAAAATGTTGCTATGCATTTTTGAAATAAAAAGTAAAAAATGTCAAAAGAAGGAAAAAATAAAAAATATTATAATTAAAAAGATTGTAATCATCATCTCACTTAGATTTTTTATTGCCACTTTCTTAAAAATGATTTTAAAGAATTTAATTGATTTTACTATATCATAAGTGGCTACCATTATTTGACCTTTATTATCTTCAATTTATCCAATATAAAAAATATATCAAACAAAAATATAGTATTTGTTTTAAAATTTTTAAACTTAAAAAATAAAAAGCATCATTATAAAATTGAGGCTTCTTAGGCTCATGTACTTAGAGTCTCTTATATCTCCCTCTTACAAAAAAATAAAAAAAATAATGTATATAATTATCCTTAAAATTTATAGATATTTAAAAAAGAGATGAAAATCATGTCATCTAAAATTTCTTATGAGGCAATTTTTAAATTATAAATCCCAATTAAAAGAATATCATTTTAAAATAAGGCTTTTTTATTATTCGTCAATTTCAAAATAATTTAATCACAAACTCACGCATTCACTTGTATTACGAAACATCAAATTCAATTAATTACGAGGGGTTGTCCAGGTTTATACGCTTAGCACCCATATGGTTTAAAGTAAATCTTTTCATTTGACATTAGTGCTCGTATCTGTGACATAATTGTTGGGGGTATAATTTCTCATCTCAATCAAGAGTGCAGATGACACATATTATTATTTAGGCTCACATTTCCCGAAAAAAATTTTTTTTTCTTCAAATTATTTATTAAATTAAAATTAACATCATAATTATAATAAAATATTAATTATATTTTTAAAACTCATTTATCAACTTTTTTTAATATTAGTTTATTTATCATACTTAATCAACTTCAAAATTTCACAACATTAAAAAAATTCAAATATATAATCCTTATTATTCATTCATTCATTTAGTATAAATTTATTATAAGTTTTTAAAAATTATTTTATTTTATAAAAGCAACACGAGAAAGAAAAAACCATTATATTTAATAAAATGCAAAACCTCAAAATTATATCGAAAAAAATCAAATATATAATCTTTAATATTCATTCATTTATTATAAGTTCTTAAAAATTATTTTATTTTATAAAAGCAACACGAGAAAATACCGATTATTACGTGCCTCTTCATTTTTTACCACTCAAATTAATCATCTCATTGTCATCGTTTAGAAATTAGGTCATCTCATCCACTCTACTGCAAGAGTATGATTAGATATTCAGAAAATACAGGTCTAAAAAACACATTATCTTCTTTCACCGTACTCATACAAGCCTCCTGGGTTATACAAACTCACGAATGATACAGAACTCACGAACAATATACATTTTCTTTCATACAATAGTATCTATTCCATGTCCCTAAAACCTGCCGCTTTTCAAAAAAAAAACATTACATCAGGACTCCGCACGTAGAGCTACGTGCGGAGTCTAATGAAATTACGCCGTGGAGGTGATTGATCAGTAACGCAAAGGAATATTCCCCTCGTGTTATTCAAGTGTTATTGTGTGTTATTCAGGTGTAATTATGTGTTATTCAAGTATTATTGATGTGTTATTTTGTTATTATAATACCATAAATATTCCAAGAACACAATAACACCTGAATAACATACAATAACACCTGAATAACATACAATAACACTTGAATAACACACAATAATAGCACTTGAATAACACGAGGGGAATATTTCATTGTTTTATCGGGTTGATCACATCTACGGTGTAATTTCATTGGACTCAACAAGTAGCTCTACACGCGGAATCCTGATGTAATATTTTTTCCGCTTCTCAAGCATAAAACTCAATTTTTTTTTTTTTTACTTTTTAAAATTTTCACATACTTTATAAGTTCTAACAATTATGAAAATTATAATATCCAGAAAGAAAGCAAGTACATGACAGATATTCAGAAATAGAGATATTAAAATTAGACTTGCAGCAATGTAGGACCAAAATCTAAAGCCTATTCATCAGCAGAGTGGTGACATGAGACCAAGCCTGGAAAGCAAAAAAAAAATATTTAATTAGTATGGTGTTGGGACCAAAAAAACACATTTAAAAAAAAATTGAAAATTTACATGCATACCACTATTCTTATATGTACATATGTAGCATCCAAATCTTAATTTTTACATTTACATCACACAACCTATGCATAAAAATGTATACTTTACCTTATAAAAGTTAAAATGGTACTATTTTTATGTGATATAAAGGATTTTGGTGGTATAAATGTACCACTATTATGTGATATAAAGGATTTTGGTGGTATAAATGTAAAAAAAAAAAATAAAAAAATAAATAAAGTTCAGATGCTAGATATGCAAATTCATAGGAATTGGGTGGTAGATATGTAAATGCTCAAGAATTAAAAGATAAAAGAGCAGAGAATTGATTTATTAAAAAAATAGAATGAAAAAGACATGCAAGGAGAGATGAATTTAAAAAAAAAAATTGGAATAAATACTCGCAATGATTATTCCAAGGAGAATACATTTCTTAAAAATGAAATTAAGAAGATGACAGTCCAGCGAAAAAAAAATGATTTATCAAAACAATGAATGATTTTAGTATTAAAATATTCTCATATAGGCTAAATCCCCAACAGGAAAGCTGCTGTCAATGAACAAATACTCAACAGAAGTACTGAATATATAACTACTTGAAGGAGGAAGCCGCCTCATTTATAATAAGTTCATGCATGAAACTTTGGGCACATTTGGGGCAGCGTTCTTGGCGCGGTGCCTTTTGAAAATGCCGGGCATGGTTTTTGAAAACCGTGGCACAACAGCGGTTTAGGATAAGTTGGGTTAAACATAGGCCACGGGGTTCGACCGCTCGGCCCGCACTTCTTCCAAAGAATCAATGATCAACAATACAACAAAACATCCCAAACCCAACTCCCAGTGTTTGTTTATAGAAACAATGCCTTGTCTTTCTCTCTCTACCCCTATTCTCTCAATCACATGAAAACTCAAATGCACTTCACTTACAAACTCTTTCTCCATTACTTTTCTCACTCTAACCCATTCTCTCAATTAGAAGGATGCACCTTGTTTATCACGTCTCTAGAAGTTTCCCTCTTTATCTCGTCACCTTTAATCTCTCAAATTAGAAAAAAAAAACTATCCCATATTGTCTCTCAGCCTTGGTTCTCCCTTTTTAACAATCTCTTAATGCATCACTAGTATCTCTCCTATTTAATATTTCTAACCAATAAACCATCTCCACCCCAATCAATCACCTCCTTCCTATACTTCCAAGTCCTCGCTCGTATTCTCCTTTGTACGCAGCAGCCTTTCACTCTACACTTATTATTAAAAGACTCCATATAATATAAACAAATATCTGAAATATTTTCAATAGTTTAAAAGGCCATCTAAGACTCTTCCTCTTTTGCATGCGTAGATAAGAGGCATCTCTTAAGGGTTTTTATGTCAATCACAGAGCCTTTTGTAATAAACCTTCATTGCTAAATTTTCAAATATGAGAGGCATATAAAGTAGAGCCTAAGAATAAACTTGAAACCAAATCAAATTCAAAACAGGTGGTCGGCCAAACCGATTGGGATTTTGAACGAAGCATTAAGCTGAATTTCCCAAATTTTGAAGCTATATATATGGTTGATCAAACCCTCTCCCCTCTCATTTGGAAACAAACTTAATTGAAGCCAAATTGCATAAATTTTGGTGTATTTAATTTATGTGATGTTTAATCACTTCATGTTTTCCGTTGTGGCCACCGTACATTGCTCCAAATGATTTCCACATTGAGTATTGGCATTTTCATTACATCACCACCCATTCTCTCTCTAAATCTACCAAACACGCCACCCATCAATCATTCTAATAAAAGTCGCCCCCACCTACAATCATATACAAAACTAACATAATCCTAATCCTAAACCTAAATTCACAACAACCAAAGCCGAAACCCTTAAACAAAAACTATAATCCTAGCCATCAATAATAAGAAGAATATAGAAAAAGGAAAAAGAAAAGATTATGGATCTTAATCATCTAACCATCAAATTTTTATTTGCTTCGAGAAAAAAAATTGTTTATAAATTAAGTGCTAGTTTCAAAAAAATTTACAGCAAAAATACTTTGTAAACATGCAATATGAATCAAGAACTAAACTCTTCAATGGATGTGCTACTTATAGCATTTTATGATATAATCCTGATATGATTCTTCAAACAAACTAGAGCAAAGTAAATTATTTATCTTCAATAATACAAACAATCCAAACGAAATACATAAAAGACAAGCACCTACAATTTGAGGGTTGGGCAATCTCCCAAATTCAAAAATTTGAGTGATGAAAACTCTCCCAAACCCTAAGCCTAACACTCAAAGAAAACAATCTCATGTATAACTCAAACCCTAAATGTATTAGCCCTATTTATACTAAATAATAACAAATAACAAAAGACTAAACTGCCCTTAAGCTAATAAAGGACATAATTTCCTTTAGGCTAGGTCAGTGTAACCATATTCCCCTCCAAAAAAAACACCTTCTCCTCAAGGTGGATAAAGGAAATTGTTATTGAATCAAGCTCCCCTGCCTCATTAGGGCTGTCAAATGGCTCGTTGTTCGGAAACAGCTCGTGTTCGTCTCGTTAAGTAGCTCGATTCGATTCGTTCGCTAAGCAAACTAACATAACACGAATAAATTTTTTATGCTCGAAAAATAAACGAGTTGAAAACAAATAATGTTTTGCTCGTTTGTGTTCGGCTCATTTTGGATCGAAATTATATATATATATAGATATATATATATATATAAAATTCTTATGTATTTATACATTTAAAAACCAAATCTTTAACGTATGTTTATGTCACAGTAGCACATGTTAATTAACTACACAACTACAAAGTTTAAAAATCAATTTAAATTATTAATTAAAAATATAGTAAATATATATTAAATTAAATTAAAATGAATATTTTAACAGAAATAATAAGAATTAAATCTCGCCCCTACCCTTAACATCCTATAATTGCGTGACCAAAGTTATCAAAACGGCTCGATCGCAAATTGCTCGAGTAGGTCTCCTTTCCAGATAGCTTGGAAACATTCCAATAAGCAATCCTTAAATTATTTCTACGAGCAAATTAGGTATCTAGCCTCCCTTCACTAAAATCATGCTAGGATTTTCCCATCCAAACATAATCTTACTGTCATGAGCTTCTATACATTTAGCACATTCACCGTAAAATATCTCTCTACACGGTACACCCACTCGTGTTCTCCCCCTCAAAGATCGACATCTTTAATTTCCTAACCCTATCATCTCCATGACAACTTCCTCTCTCTTTGTTGTTTTCCCCCATATATCGAAGGTAAAACTCCCTCTTCAATCATAATCATACCCCATCTCGGCTTCTCTCATTTCTTCTTTGTGCCCCTCCACATCCTTTGCATAACCCCTCCTCCAAGTTTCGGCCCAACCCCCTCCTTTGGCAATCTCTAATCCACCAGCCCTCGGAGGGGTTTCTTGAAAGTGGATGCTTTCATCCTTATGTCCCATCGCTCGATCTCTCTCTTTGTATTCAGTCAAGTACTCTCCAATCAACCCTTAGTTAGATTTTTGCAAATTGAACCACCGGCAAGGACTTGAAGTGCATCTCAATAAACTTCATTATCATCTCCTCCAGAATTTCGAATCAGTTGTCAATGGCAGAAAACCTTTCATCTATCCCAAATTTAAGTTAGCTCACATCTTCCTCCAAGTTATTCTCCAAACTGTCAACTTTTTTGGCCACCATTCCTCCTAGAACGGGCAAGTATTCTCCGATCAACTAGGGCTGTCAAAACGGCTCGTTGTTTGCGAACAACTCGTGTTCAGCTCGTTAATTTTGTTCGATAAGTTAAGATGTGTTCGTTCGTGTTCGGCTCGTTTTGGCTCGAAATACTACTCATCAAGTTTATATATATATTGAGTAGTATTTTAAAAAATCTGATTGACTACAAGGCTACAAAGATTTATAATCAATTAAAATATTGATTAAGAAAATAGAATAAAAATTATTAAATTAGATTCAAATGATATTTTAATATAAATAATGATTTTTAAATCTTGTTCAAACTTATTGTCTTATGTCTTATGACTACATTATTAGGGTTGTTAAAAGGACTCTTTGTTCGTGAACAGCTCGTGTTCGGCTCGTTAAGCAAACGAACACGAACACACTTTTTGAGCTTGAAATATAAACGAGTCGAACACGAGCGTTTACACCCCTACGATCAACCCTTCGTTAGAGTTTTGCAAATTGAACCGTCGGCGAGGACTTGAATTGCATCTTAATAAACTTCATTATCATCTCCTCCTGAATTTCAAATCAGCTATCAATGGCAGAAAACCTTTAATCTATCCCAAATTTAAGTTAGCTCACATCTTCCTCTAATTTATTCTCCAAACTGTCAACTTTTTTGGCCACCATTCCTCCTAGACGGGTTACAATCACGGAGGAGGAACTACTATATGTTGAAATCTCATTGATGGCTTCCCATGTAATCCAAATAGGGTCTTCGCCAATTAGAACGAGTATGTATTGTGAGGAACCCGGTGCGTCACAATTATGTTATATGTATGCTGTGATCCCATCATTTACGTCCCAGCTAGCTCTTTATGCGACTGTATTGCACGTATTAAAGTGACCAAGCATACACCACAATCCTTCTTTGCTTCCCAGCTGGCTCTCTCGATTCCACAAGCTTCCCCACAAGCTCGAAATTTGACTGCCTCGCACCGTTAAGTCATAGACGCAGCAGTCCCAATGCAACTGTCTCGCGCGGTTCAGGCCGGAATTCCTTTGTTGTATTTCGCGACTGTTTCGGCACTAAACGCCAAGATCCAGTAGTTAGTACCGTCTCGCAATTTTTTAAACTCTATAAGTACTGATCCAATCAAAATTTCCAAAATCAAAAATTCTGATACTAGTTTGATACGATTCTTTGCATAAATTAGAACAATGTAAATTGTTTTTCTTCAATAACACAAACAATACAACCTGAAATACATAAAAGATAATCACCTACAATTCGAGAGGTAAACAATCTCTCGCAAATCCTACAATTCGAGAGAAAGAAAAACTCTTTCAAACTCTAAACCTAAGACTCCAGGATAATAATATCATGCATAATCCTAACCCTAAACATATTGGCCCTATTTATATTAAATAATAATAAATAAATAAATATTAAATAGACCTCAGGCTAATAAAGACAAAATTGCCCTTAGGCTAGGTCAGCGTAACAAATCCATAATTGATTTTTTTCAGTTGGTCAAAAGAAGATTTTGGTACTTTGGAACTACAGACTAAGGCCATCCAAATCTTTCTCAAAAATCATTCAAATTGCCCCAAAAAAAAGTTTTTCACCTTGAGGAACTAAGAAGCCAAATTAGGTAGTGTTATCTCGAAGTATATTAATGCCAGTATCATTGTATTCCAGAGGGTATTTAGTAACAGATTCATTATCAGATTTAGCCATGAATTTAACTTAAATCCTGCCAAATACTAAAAAAAATAAAAATAAATCCGTTAAATTAAATTTCCTCGTGTTCTGTCCCCTTTTTATCGCATTTCGTCACTTATTCGACGTAAATCCAGATTTAGTAAATCAGATCACAAGAAGAATTTATCCTGTCTCGCACGAGCTCCTTCCGTAATTTGTGTAATCCAAATTTATCAGATTACATAAATCCTATTAAACGTAAATGTGATCGGCAACCAAACACCGACCCTATGCCAGCTTCAAGTTTCTTCTCAAGGCTTTTACTTTTTGAGTGTCTTTTCCTTCTTTTTCTATTTTTTTTCATTTATGTTCCTTTTTTATTCTTTTTTTTTCCTTTTCTCCTGAGAATTACTATACCTGGTTAGACAATATTTTTGCTTCTTCTTTTACATATAATTGAAGGTTTTTAATGTGCAATATTAGCATGTACTGTTTTAAAAAAAAGAAATTAATTATTCAATCTCATCCCACTGAAGACTTTCAATTATAAATAGAGGTCTGAGTGATATGTGATGAGAAAATGACAAAAGTGATCTCTAGACAATTAAGGAGTGCTCATTTTGACCCCAAACTTCTCTTATTCTCCACTTTGGTTCATCAAATTATCAGAAGTGTAAAGTTTAAGGACCAAAAAAAAACATTATGAAGGAAAAATAGTCAATTTGTAATAAGTTAAGAGATTAAATTAGAGACTAAAAGAGGTGAAGGTCAAATGAACACAACATAAAGGTCTAGGGATCAATTTGATTGTTTTCACAGAATGTGATAGTTAAGATTATGATGTAAAATGAATATTTAATGCTCTGCAATGCTTCCCACTCCTAAGCTGCGCGAGACTTTTCCTCCTTCCATTCCTCTCCTCTTTCTCATTCCTCAACTTCTTTCAAAGCTTCCTAAAATCATTTGTTTGAGAGTCTGCATAGGGATGGCAATAGAAAAACGGGAAATTTACAATCGTAGCACACAATTCTAATGTATTTACCTATCTCACACCTAAAATTTCATATTTAAATACATAGCACGTCGGTGCTTTAAAACTATATATGCAAAAGCGTATTTTACTTTTAAAAAGTAATATAGAACTATTTTTGACGTGATATTAAACATTTGAGTGCTATATGTGTGAATATGAAAGTTTAGGTGCGACATATGTAAATACATTAGAATTGTGTACTATGTATGTAAATGCCCATACAGAAATATATCATTACTATCCAGACTGAATAGGCACGAACAACCTACCCAAAACAAAGGAAATGAGTGCCTTAATTTAAAAACCCAAATTATTGATTCATAAACATTTACTGAGCCTATTAGTTAGAGTGCACCAAGAGCATACCTTCGCACAAGATAAAAAAACATGATCAAGGACGAGCAGTTGGACAAGGATAAAACGACGTGCCACATGCTATCCACTGCTTCCTCTCATTAAGGGGAAGCGTACACTCTGGAAGCTTCTCCCATCTCTTCTCGTGCAAATCATATGTGATGAAACGATTCGACCTTATTGATCTCAACGACAGCATGAGCACCCCCTGATTCCCCACGCAAGTCATCTTTACGTGCTTCCCGTAATACTCCAAGCACGAAATATTTGGCATTCTGTCAACCTCCTTCCATAGAAGTGTCATCTTCTGCAACTCCCATATGCAAACACACGTCGCCGCATTTTTCGAGAGCAGTCCCACGAGCAAAACCTTTCCCTGGCACTCCGCAATTGTATGGTCCGTTATACGCAAAGGTAACGGAATAACATACTGTTTCCAAACACCAGTGGCGACATTGTACGTCAAAATTCCGTCAGGATTGGATAGCATAAAGTAAATCGTGCTGCCAATGCACACAGTCGGCGACCGGAAATTTAAGGTGAACGGAAGCTTGATACTTTGAGGTAAAGACCCTTGATGAGACCAGTGGTCTAGCGCAGAGTCATAGACCTCGTGATCTCCATTGCATCCAAGCAAGACTACCTTGTAACTTCCGTTCGCCGTATTCGCTGTCAAAACCATCCCCACAGCCACTCGTGAACGAACACGAGTGGACCTCGGCGGGAGCACTTTGACTGCATTGATAAGAGGGTTGAATATATAGAAGTGCCTGTTGTTGATATCCAAGAGACAAACAAGGCCACCGGCTGAAGCAACGATGTAAAAGATCTTCGAACGGAGAACTGGGATGGATAAGTTGTGCCATTTTTTCGAAGAAGGGTCATACATGGCTCCGTCTTTGGCAGCATCAAAGCGATGAACCCTGTTTTGAACAATGTACCAAGGATTCGTTTGCTGAACTTCTGCGAAGTGACGAGCGAAGCTAGTAGAGCTTAGCAATGAATTCCACTTTCGGCATACCAAGCGGAAACGAAAAAGAGTGGCTATTGGGAGCCTTGCAATCACAGCTTCCAAGAGATCTACAGGGAGTTCCTTCCATATTTGTTGCTCCATTGTCACTATTAAGTTTGGAATAGTGAACAATGTGCTGCTGCTACTCTTTTCAGTTCGTGATCTTTTGTTTGGACTCGTATTAGATTCGAACAAATTAATTATTTCAGACTTGGCTTCTGATACCCAACCACAATAATCATCCTCAGCTGAAGTATCATCAAAATCAAATGAAACCCACCTGCAAAGGAAAAAAGGTGCCATTAAAATCTATGAGTTTACAATTTCTTATCAGACCACATAAAAAGCAAACTTCAATGAGACGCTATTTTACATATGCAGCACATAATTCTTATGTATTTACATTCACACCTAAACTTTCATATTTACATACACAGCACTTTGATGCTTTAAACTTATGCATGAAAATGTGTATTTCACTTTAAAGAAGTGGTAATTTTTAAAATATGGTAATAGTGATATTTTTTATATGATATTAAAGATTTGAGTGATATGTGTGTAAATATATAAGTTGGAGTGTGAAATATGTAAATACATAAGAATTGTAAGCTATGTATATAAATGACCCCTAAGACAAAATGATAACAAGGTAAGCATTTTGCTAACAAATCAGAATATCAAACGCATGCAGGAAGATAAATAAGAGGTTCACTTTCTGGCTGGTATTGAAATAAAATTAGGCAACCAAAAGCTCAATCCAAATAGAACATCAATCGAGAGCTAAAAAAAAAAAAATATTATTATAAGATCAAAATTTATTTGTGCATGCACGCATGCAGATAAAGAGAGTGACACCATTCTAGGGTTTCTAGAAGGTGTATGAAAGTGTTGGGAACATTTGTAGAATAGTAAGATCAGAAAAATAAGAGGAAAAAGTGAGGACAAGGAGGGGGAAGAAGCAGTTGACTGCTATACAAGAAGAAAAGAGCAGGAAACTTGGCAGTTCAGCCCAAAGTGCAAGGTTAAGAAAGTCAGAAGGATCCAAATTTGAAGATATTCAAGGTAAGGCACACCACTTGAAAGAGAGAGACTACAACACTCCTGAAAGAGAGAAATCTGATAAAAATCTCAAACTATCGCAAAAACTAAAGAAAACTATCCAAACAAGGTTCTAACACATCATATTTATATGAAGGCAAAATTAAATCCTAATTATAAATGTAAATAAACTAAATAAGAGCTCACAAAACTAGGTGATTATCAATAGGAAAAAAATTTCCAGTTATGGCACTCATGGGACGTGAGAGCCCGCCTCAAGCCCGTCCCACCAGGATGGGACACTCCAGCGACATTCTCCTTGGGTGAGAAGGGTTTTGCCTTCTTCTATGGAAGCTACAAGATCCTCATAGTACGGCAAAAAATCAGCAATGTTAAAAGTAGTAAAAAAATTAGTCTTTCAGCAAATCAATCTTGTATGCATTGTCATTAATCTTATTAATAATCTTAAAGGAATCGCCAGCTTTAGTCTTGAGTTTTGCAAACGACTATGCAAAATCTCTCAATTTAATCTGACCCACACCATGTCACCTTTTTTAAATGTCATAACTTTCATAGACTCGTAATCATATTTCTGAAACTTAACATTCTACTCGGCAAATTTCTCCCTCGCCTAGTTATCTAAGGCCTTAATTTCTTCGACTCTGACCTTTACGTTAGTATTGAACTCCATAATGGTAATAATAAGCAATAACTCTAATGGTGTAAAAGGATTTTGTCTGTATACAGTCTCAAAAGGATTGTGACTTGTGAACCGGCTAGTGGATTTGTTATAAGCAAATTAAACCTAAGAAAAAAACGCACAAAGCACCTAAAAAACATTTCTCAAACTACAATTAAACATCTCTATATGTACATTTATTTGCGGATGAAGCTTTGTACCTAAATTATTCCATAAGATCCACCAAAAGTGACTCGTAAATTTCATATTTTTTGTCTAAAACGTGGTCTAGACACACCATGAAAATGAACTATCTACAACAACAACAAAATCTTTATCCCACAAATGGAGTCGGCTACATGAATCCTTTTTCTCCATTATGTCCCATTTTAAGTCATATGTTCATTTAAATCTAATAAATTATGATAATTTTTTATACAATATGCCCAAGTCTTACTAGGTCTATCTCTGCCTTTCTTAACATAAGTCGAATCTAAAGCATCTACTCATCTAATTGGATCATCAGATGGTCGATGTTTAATATGACCAGACCATCTAAAGATAACTTTCTCTAATTTTGTCTGTCACTGCAGCTACACCAGCCCTATCACGGATATATTCATTTCGCATTTTGTCTTTAAGTGTAAAGCCACTCATCCACCTAATCATTCTCATTTCGGCAACACTTAAATTAGTTGTATGCTTCTCTTTTAAAGGTCAACATTCAGCGTCATAGAGCATTGCAAGTCTCACCACCGTCTTGTAAAACTTTCCTTTCAGTCTAAGTGGTATCTTTCTATCACACAATAGGCCCGAAGCATTACTCCACATCAACCAACCAACTTGAATTCTACTAAAATATAAATCTGCAATATGTGAAGCATCCATCATCTTGTGACAAGGTACCAAATGTGGATTGAAGAAGCAATCTACTACCACTTAACCAAATCCTTATTCCGTTGGGTTCGTGGGAGACCAACAACAAAGTCCATGCTTGCATCCAATCAAGATGACTCAAAAACAGAAAGAGTACAAACTCAAATTTTACCCTTGTGTCTATGGTAAGTGAAAAATTTGCACTGTCCAACATGCTTTTCATATATTGTACTAATCTAAGCTAATAAAAATACTTTTTTAGTTAAAAATAGTCTTGTTCATGTCGTTCCTCTATTGTGCACTCTTGTAAAGTAAGCTCCCCAAACAACACCAGAGGATGCATAGCTTCTCCTATAAGAATGGATAATAATCTGATATGTGAAGATGCCCATGCAATCTGTCCTAACAACAATTCCAAATCTTCTGAAAATCATCATCAGAGGCATACAAATCCTTCAATACCTTAAAGCAACTAGCTTCAACTACATACTACTGGTTTGTAAGTAATGACGACTCAATGAATCAATTATCTTATTCTGACTCCCAGTTTTGTGCTTAAGTACCAAAAAAAATTGAAAACAATAAACTCCACACAAGGAATATCAAGCCCTCAGCTTGCTTCGACTAGCTTAAGGCTTCATGATCATTACAAAGAGTAAACTCATTTATCAGTAAATAATGACTACAGTGACTAAAAGCGCAAATTATAATATAAAACTCTTTATATTAAGTGAAATATTTTCACCTCGAATCATTCAACATCTCACTAAAAAAAATGATAGGATCCACCTTGACTTAGACAACTCCAATACCTATATTAGAGGCATTACACTCCAACTAGAACGCCTGAATAAAATCCGAAAGAGCAATGACAGGAGCCTAAACATGTTTTTCAAAACATTTAAACAACCACGTGTTTCATCTGGCAAAATGAATCTATTTGACTTGAGAAGCTCCATCAAGGGTATCATTATAGAGCTTACTTTTTTTCAAAATCTTCTATAAAAAAATTCAATATATGAAATTGGTGTATCTGAATAAATGATTGTGGATTGGGCGAGTCCACAATAATCCAGAGATGATAGGATCCACCATTGACCTAGACAACTCCATTCCTATATTAGAGGCATTACACTCCAACTCGAACACCTAAATAAAATCTAAAAGAGCTATGATAGGGGCCTAAACATGTTTTTCAAAACATTAAAACAACAATGTGTTTCATCAGACAAAATGAATCTAGTTAATTTGAGAAGCTCCTTCAAGCGTATCACTATGGAGCTCACTTTTGTTTTCAAACCTTCTGTAAAAAAAGCCAATCTATGAAATTGGTGTAGCTGAATAAATGACTGCGGATTGGGCCAAAAAATGTCAATACGTTGACACAATATACACAAGTAAGCATATCTGCAGGGTCAAAAAATGACAGACCTTTAGATGGTCATACAAGTGCTTTGTTTAAAGAAGTTCAAAAACCTGTCACAGGTGCTACAAATGCTCTTTCTCTAAACAGCTAAACACTAGAATATTATCAAAGCACATAAGCATGAATTTTTTCAGAATGGCTTGAAAAATCTGGTTCATCAACCTTATATAAATGCTTGATGCATTGGACAAGTTCAAATACATGACTGTCCACTCATACAATTCATCTTGCACCTAGAATGCGATCTCACTCATCCCCGGGACTCAAAACAAAGTTGGTGATATCCACTGCATAGATCTATCTTGAAAAAGTTGGTAGCTCCATACAATTGATCCAGCAAGTCATCTAATCTAAGAATGAAGAACTGGTACTTAATGATTATTTTATTCACACCCCTGCTATCAATGTGCATACACTATGATCCATCTGTCTTACGCATAGTACAACAAATAGATTGGTACTCTCGCAAATTAACCCTTGAGCGATCAAATCCTCAATCTACTTTGGCAACTTCTCCTACTCTACAGGGCGTAGTCAATAAAGCTATCATTTAAAGAGCATTGATCCTAGAATGAAATGACATGCTAAATCTCACACAAGAGTGGTAATCTAGGTGGTAGGTTGTAGTAAAATTATTCTAAAATTCATCTAATACGGACGACACTACCTCAGATATTTTCTCTCCTCCATCTCACTACCCTCCACATCACTAAGGTCAATCTCACCAACACCTCTCATAGCTTGTAAAAATGTGGCATGACCCACCACAACACCCATCTATGTTTGAGTACTCATCATTGTTGACTCATTTAGGGAAAAAATATATATGTTTCTCGTCCTTAATAATGTGTAGGTATTTTCGTGATCAACATGAAATGTACAACTGTCATAGTATCACGATCAACCTAATATAATGTGACATGCATCCATAAGCACAACGTCCGACACCTGATGTTGTGGCTTGTCTCCAATGAAAAACTCTACTAGATATCTCTTATCAACAATGATCACATTCCTTTTCTTCAACCAAGTAAATAAATAGGATTGAGAATGCTTAAAGGCAGTGAGACTTAATTTATCCACCATTTTGATAAACATTACATTCTCATAACTACGTACATTTATAATAAGATCATACACATTCACCTTCACAGTACAATAGAAACTAAAAATATTATGCCAAAGCCACTGTTGATCCCACTTGTGCTTGAATTAAAGGATTCGTCAAAATACAAGTGTCTCACCATCATCTGTAGATAGC